CCAGTCAAGTATGTCCTTAGATCCTCTTGTTCATGATATCGAGAATAATTCTTCCAAATCTCATGATTCTTCTAAGTTCGAGTTCAAGAATAATCTATTATATTTTGAAGGACGCCTATATGTTCCAAAAGGAGAAGCACGTTTACGTGTTTTTCAAGCACGTCATGATTTTCCAGCAGCATGATACTTTGGATATAATAAGACTTTGGAACTCATATCAAGAGATTTTTGGTGGCCACAAATGTGGAAGTCAGTCAAAGACTTTGTACAATCATGTAATATTTGTTCAAGATCAAAAACTCCTCGTCATCGACCTTACGGACTTCTTCAGCCATTACCTATACCAGAACAACCATGGTCTTCTGTTTCTATGGATTTCATCACAGATCTTCCAAGCTCAAGATCTTATGATTCTATATTTGTGATAGTAGATCGTTTCACCAAGATGGCACATTTTGTGCCATGTAGAAAATCTATCACAAGTGAAGAAACAGCTAAGCTTTTCATTGATAATATCTATCGCTATCATGGATTACCTAAAGATATCATATTGGATAGGGGAACTCAATTTGTGTCGAGATTTTGGAGGACCCTTTTCAAGATTTTAAAAGTGGACATAAAGCTATCTTCGGCTTTCCATCCTCAAACTGATGGACAATCAAAGCGCGTAAACCAAGTCTTGGAGCAGTATTTAAGGTGTACCATCAACTACCAACAAGATGATTGGACAACCCTTCTGCCATTGGCAGAGTTTGCTTATAATAATACGGTACATTCTTCCACGCAACAAACACCTTTCTTTGCCAATTATGGCTATCATCCACGACTTGATGCTTTTGATTTTTCAAAAGTTGATAATTTCTGCAGCAGAAGATATGGCAAATCGGTTGTCAGAGTTACATGCAATAATGAAGACGTAATTGAAGGAAGCTCAAGAACGACAAAAGATAAACGCAGATGTATATCGTAAGGAGCAATCACAACTCAACGTGGGTGATAAGGTATGGCTACTTCGTCATAATATCAAGACCACTCGTCCTTGCGACAAGTTGGACTATCGAAGGCTGGGATCATTTTCTATTTCTGCACAAATCAATCCAGTTGCATATCGTTTTCATCTACCGAAGAGAATGAAAACCCATCCTGTATTCCTGGTGTCTCTTCTTGAACCATACAAGACAGTGGTCATATCAAGAAGACGACAAGCTCCACCTCCTCCTATAGAAGTGGACAATAATGAAGAGTTTGAAGTAGAAGAAGTCTTAGGTTCAAGGCGGCGTCGAAATAAAATAGAATATCTTGTCCATTGGCGCGGATATGATATTAGTGAACGCACATGGGAGCCAGTAAAGAATCTTGCAAATGCAACAAAGGCGGTGGAGGCTTTTCATCGACGACATCCATCAAAATCAAGATGAAAACCTTTTTTATAAAAGAAACAACATCTAGGCAAGATAACATTCTACTTTCAATTCTTGTTCATAGCTTCATTGTAGTAGTGGCGCTCAGGAGATGGAGAACCAACAACCAACGGATTTAACTCAAGAGCCTTCATTTGCTGACCTACCGGACGAGACATTACGATTGTCACAACCTTTAAGACGACGCAATCGAGATGAAGATCTTCAAGAACGACATGTTCTTCTTCGAATAGATGGTGAGATACAACACGTTTGGTATCACGATTTGGGAAGGGACTCCCGATGTTTGGTGATTTTGCTAGAGATAGGAACAACTCCTAATGGTGTTCCAAATATTCTATTCGAAGGAAGTTACGAAGGCCTCAAGAATGATCAAATAACTGGGTGGTCTTCCCGCCTTGGTATGGGATTCTACCGATGGTTTAGAGGCCCTATCAATCATCTTCGAAGAGAACAGAGATCAGAGTATGTGGCGAATACAATTCGTCGCATCATAAATTTCCTCAACATATGATGATCGCTCCTCGTGGAACTCGTCCCTAGAAGGGGGGGTAATGTCACGGCCATAATTATGTAAGCTAATAATTACATATAGAAATAGGTAGAAGTAAATAAAAATAGGTAAAAGTAAGTTAATTCTATAATATTTAATATGAAAGCTTCCTAGAAACTTCCTAGACGCTGTTTTGACTTCATAGGTGTCTTTAATTGACTTTTTGGATTAGAAACGTGGTCAACAAGTTGGCCATGTGCCACACATGTTGTTAGCTTAAAGATCAAGCTAACTATGTGGCCCACACGTAGAAAAACTTGCCTTGTAAGTCAAGGCATGTGCCCTACAAAGTCAACACATATTGGAGGTCCTATAGAATGTCGCCATGTAGCTCTTAGTTAGATAGTATATATAGAGACAAGAGTGAAGGCTTCTTCACTCTTGTCAACTCTTTTCTTACTTCTAGTCTATTTCAAGGGTGTCTAGTTTTCTTGTCTTTTGGCAATAGCCATTCCAGTTTCTCTTTCAATATATATACTTGTTTATATATATTTTGTTACCTCTTTTTGAGTGAATGCTCACTTGTTTGAATTTTTTTTTCATCGAGTTCTTGTCCTTGACAGATGCTTAAGCTTTAATCATTTTATTGCAGATATGAAACCAATGCTCCTTGTGGAACTTGGAATTAAAAGAAGATGTGATATTAGAGACATTTAATAAGAAGTTTTTGAAAATATTTTAAAAATATTCTATCATATTCTTGAAGATTTCAAAAGATTTTGAAAATATTTCAATAGGATGTTATAGAAGATTTTAAAAAGATTTTAAAAAGATTCTAAAAGATTTTAATTTTTTAAAGAATATTCTAGTAGATTTTAGAATATTTTAGAAAAATTAAAGGAGTTGTTGTAGAAGCTTCTTAAGGTTGCTTCATCTTCAAGCAACATAGAAACTTCTCAAGAAGCTTCTTAGCATTACTTTGTCTTCAAGCAATATAGAAACTTCTTAAGAAGCTTCCTAGCATTGCTTTGTCTTCAAGCAAATTGGAAACTTAGAATTTAGAAATTTACTAAAACCAAAATTTAGGTTATATCAATGATACATATGATATTATTAGATTATTACTTTTGAAAATTTAAGAATCAATTGTGATTCTATCAACTTTATATTAAAAAAATTCTTAAACTATAAAACATTATATTTAAATATATATATGATTAATTATAAACAAATTTTAATTTTAATTTCAATGAATATATATGTATATATAGTTTATTAATTAATATTCAGATAAAGTTTTGAGAATTGCATAAAACATATGATTTTTTATTTTATTATTATCAATCAATTATATTTATGGTATAAAACTAAAAAGATAGTCTATCATATTGTTAAAAGATGTGTAGTGTCTATTCTAAATTGCACAAATACTTAGAATTTACAATGATTTATTAACAACCTTCTTGAATAAAATAAAACTATTCACTAGTCAAAAATAAGTTTGGGATTCTTTATAAAATCATTATAATATTTTACAAAATATTTTATGACATTTTTGCAAAACTTTAATGTGCACATTTCAATAAGGACATATCATTAGTACTCCTAGAAAAAAATTATGTAAGCCGAGCTTTAAAACATTTTGTAAGACGTGCATCAATCAAGACCTCCAAAGCAACTAAGAAATTTGCAAACTTACAGCACCACAAAAACATTAAATACACATACCATTTTCTAAGCATTGTGTGTACACTTCAAAACTGTGATCCTGGTAGTACAAAAGGGCAATCTGTAAAAGTGAACTTAGTATGCTACTGGTTCAAATCTAGGATTTACGGGTCTAATTAAGTAATTACAGTACATGCAAAGATTTTCCTCATACAATGTATTCACCAACCTTCAATAAGAAGAGGAGGAAAAACCTACATTGTTTGTGAGGTGTAATTGGCAATATTGACATCACACAATGAAATAACTGGCTCTTTGCATTTCAGAGAAGACCGGTTGTTATTTATCAGGGCCAATCTTGTTCATTCTACTAAAGAAAACAGTCATTTGGATGTGGGATACTTCACAGATTGCGGTGATTTCAGCAGGTTTTTGTGCAATGCTCATCTCTGTTACAGGATCACAGCAAAGGGTCGTTCTCGCAGAGGTCAGTTTACAAAGCCAAAAACCGACTTCACCTACACAGTCCACCAATTTGCTGATGGACAAGGCTCATTGACTCTTACCTCGGAGAATCGTGCAGAAGTATGCACACATAACCTGAAAAATCTTACTGTGTACTCCCTAGTTTTTCACAGTTGAATCACTGGTTTTGTTCGAAGCTTTTAAAACGAGACTTTCCAGAATACATTCAGTGGTTTCATCTTTTTTTTTTTCTTTTTTTTTTTCTTTTTTTAATCACCCCTGGTCATGAGGATGGCAGGGTTCTTGGATTGTATACCACAGTGTTGTGTCCGGTGAGCAGCAACCTCATCCTGTAAAACCAGCAAGAAAGAAGCGATTTGATAATTCATAATTGGTTCTATATAATATACTAAAGAATTTGTACTGTACCCCCGATAGTTTCGACGAGGTCCCTGTCTGTTTCGTGATAACATTGACTGGAAAGTACGTGATTGATATTCTCCTGTAAATCAATATGTACTTGTCAAAATTGTTGATCCTCGTTCGCACGCTGTTGCATCAACCAGGTCAAAGTTGGTTCTTCAACACTTGTGTGTGTATATATATATATATATATATCTATATAGCTGTAGAAATGGCTTCAATTAGGCGTGGGTTGATCGGTACAATTGAAATTAACACTGGAATCTACATTACACTGACAGTAGCACCCACTAGGTGAGATTTTGTACCACACAGTGACAGTAACGCCCACAGGTGTGGATGGATTAAGTTATGTACGCACAACAATCTGGCCGACGAGACTTGGGAGGGGACAGGGTAGAATTAACAACAGTGCTTACCAAAACCCACCTATTTAACTATATATATATCACCGAGAGACAAATACAAGGGATAAACAAGAGGAGATAAAAACCATCTCCCATTGGCCGCATGCCTCATTGTTTTCATCAAAAAGCTTTCATCAAAAGTGAACCAAAACTCAAATTAACTCACATATCAACTGCGACATCCAAGAGGGAAAGCATGCGTGAACAATTCAGAGAGAAGCCTAACGAATCGGGTCACAATCGGGTCCCTGCGAGACACGAGCTGTGAGGGGCGATGGGCGTTGGATTTTGCGAGGTGCATGTCTGGTAGTGCGGTGAAGCGCACAGGCTGGTGGTGCGGCGAAATATGATAAGCAAATTCTTGTTGTCTTTCTGTGGACCCGTGATATCCCCTAGTGAACATTGTCTTATTGGTGAATCAACAAGCTATATGATAAGCATATTTCATTGTCTTACGATGATCCCAGGTGAGTTTGTTGTCTGTTTTATATCAACTTCCAACGCACATGGCACCGAACACTGTGTGAATACAGCCCCGAACACCTTCAACCTGCTTATGAACCACAAGAATGGCAATACAGTTGGATAATCATTGTTACAAGATTCTGTTGTTCACAAGTATTCTTCAACCACTAATCGAGATGGTGTAACCAAGTGTGCAGTGAGGCTCGATCGACACATCTTGGGTCCATGGATCCTTTGCTTTTAGCATCAGCTGGAGCACCGTGAGTGATTCTTTTAGCTACTCACTTCAAATTCTTCAAGCTTAATTCCCACGCAATAAGGGCACCCCAGTCATGGCCAACGACGAACACGCGCTCTTCCTTCAGATCGTCCAGGAGGCCAATCAAGTCGCCCACGACATGCAATGTAGTGTAGAGCCCGATGTCTGTCGGGCCCTTAGACTCGCATTCCCTTGCAAATCCGGTGCCACGACATGACATCCAGCCTCTACCAACGGAGGGATCTGATAGCGCCAGCCATACCAAATTTCAGGAAATCCGTGCAGGAGTGGCACCGGTGGCCCCGTGCCCTGCTCGACGAAGTGCAGATCAATACCATTTGTTTTCATCGTTTGGTGCGTCAGCTTCGACATCCATGCCGGTGTCTCCCTGGCTTCTCCTTCACAACTCTTCAGCTGGATCAATGCGAGCGACGCCATGCCGCAACTCTTCACCCCTCCTTATGTGCAAATGTGGCGTCTAATCATTTATGTGCAAATGCATCGGCTTATATAAATTTCCAGCGCCTTGGAAGCAGACCATGCGAGTTCCTGGAGTCCTTGGGGCACCCATCTCGACTGTCCGTTTGACTTAGGTTTGTCCTTTCGTCATGTGCACTGTTTCTGGCTTTTTCATAGTACCAAAAATAGGTCGAATGTGAAGTATTATGCTCAGATAAGACTTTTCTGATGTTTGTATGTTATCATTCTCCTATCAACGTCGAGATGAGGGCCAAACAATTCAACTTCAAATCCGTTCAGAGTAGGGAGGTGCGAGTAGTCACTTGAAATATTCATTTCACGTACTGTAAATATAGTTAATGGCGTGAGTGAGAATTTGGGTTATCGAGATGTGTTCTTGTTTTTTTATGAAATCCTCTTTTTAGTGTTGCAATTTGAGTCACTTCTTGGCTGAAACTAATTCAATATCAGAAATGAAGTATGGATAAGAAATCAGTTTATATGCATGTAATTCGTAGAAAACCTGTGTACAACCTGTGTATAACGAAGGCATTCTCGAAGTCTTCTCAAAGCAGCTTTGCATCAATCATTCATATAATCTAAGTGAGTTGCAACTATTTCTAGTCAATTCTATTGTTTTGTTCGATACAGGCTGGTGTAGAGCTAGCTCATGCCTTGATCTTTGCCTGCTCATTCATGTATTTCTTTGCAAGATAACAGCAGATATTTTTTTTGACAAATATACGTCGTTTGAAGACACAGAATAGTACGCAACGTGATGGGTGATATGTAGTGAAATGTTGCGTTACTGTGGAGGTTTCTGAAGTTTTGCAATAACAGTGTCAAGTGAAATGGTTTATATGCAGGCTGCAGGATTCTGAGTTTCTGTAACTTACGTGGTGGTGCATGCAGAAGTCACGACTAAACACCGTTGTCCAATCAATTGGTAACCCAGGGACCGTGCTTGATGCCGATAAGTTGTAGCTTGAAAGAGTATATAAATCTGTGATCTGAGTTTGATCTACAGTGATTGGTTTTTTTATTTTTTTTATTTTTTATTACTTCGTATTACATTTTTGAAGTGTGGAGCATACTGAAATGGTAGATTATCAAAATTTGGAGCATACACAATGAGTGTCTTTTAACCTCACTGTTTAAAATGAATTGGTTTAGTTCCATGTGAAGGAGGTTCATAAATTGTGTCAAAGTTTTGGAGGTTTACTGTTGGTGATTTTTGCACGTTTTTTTGTTAATTAAATTCGATAATCCTCTAAACAGTAAGCAATCATAAATTATTCAAAGTTAGCTTTTTTCATTTCCATTTGAGCACTTTGCTGCATCTTAATTATGAATTATTGAAATGCAAAGCTTGAGTATATTCTCATTATTCATATGTTTATTTATTTTTTGTTGTAGTTGCTTTTACACAATCAAAATCAATTACTCTATTGTACAAATAATGCATTAACACATGTGATTTGAATTGCCAATCTTAAAGTTGGTTCTATTTAGAGATGTGCCTCATTTTTTATTTTTTATTTTTAAAAAATTGTGAATTTATTCATATTGGATAAAGCATTATATATACATATACATGCTTCTTTTTTTCTTTTCTTTTTTTCTCTCTCTCTCTCTATTTTTTTTTTTTTTTTTTTTTTTTTTTTTTGTTGGTATTCACATGCTAAAATCACATGTGATTTTAGCAAGTGATTTTAGAGTCGACGGAGAGGGTGATGGAAATAAGACGGTTGCGGGGTCAGGAGGAAGGAGTGAGGGATTGAGGCAGTTTGGAATGCGCTTGTTGTTTGTGAATGTTGCTTGAATTTACCGAGGAGGGTGCGGTTGTGTTCGGATGAGAGTAATCCGGGTGGTTTAGCGAAGGGTGTTGCGAGAGGACTGGTGAGACTTACTGGAACGTGGTTGGGAATGTGCAGTATTGAAGAGAACTGCATGAAGAGGATCAATGCGGGGACGGCACCGCATCAGTATCACCCTGTGGGAATTGTGAAGAAGGCCAGCTGCCCTGGAAAGTTGGCTGACATGAAGGGGAAGCGATCGTGCCTCAGTCGGTACGGGAGGAGCGTGGGGTGGACTGTGCCGATTGCGACGATGATCGATGCGAACCTGATCTCCACGGTGTCGAGGTGAGCATGGGTGTGGGGGATTGTGGCGCTCGTGGTTTGTGGGATTGCCAGTAGAGATGGTGTGAACAGTTGTGTTCGATTTGGTGACTTGTACGACGGTAACTGGTGCTTCATGGGTGTGAATTCACAGCGAGGAACCGCTGCCATGAGCGGGATTTTAGCCAAGGCGCTGACGCGAGAAAAGTATGGTTGTGTGGTTGGTAGAACGCCCCAGATCAATGACATTGAGTTGGTGATGGCGTTTTTCTCGAAGAAGTGCGCAGCGTTGAACGCCCCCAAGACGATCATACGCTCCGGGTGCACGACGAAGGATGAGTACTATGACTACCAGGGAGCATTCAAGGGCGTGATTGAGGGTGCTTGCGACGTGGGATTCATGAAGTTCACCATTCCGGCGGAGTACGCGCTTGATGGAATCAAGGCCCAGAACTGGACTGGGTTGGAGAGGCCAACTTCGAAAGCCCTTTTGTGCAGCTCAGGACCGGCGGTGCGCGGGGATTTGTCCAGCTTCGCGACGTGCAATTTCGGATCGTTAGCTGGTAATTTATCCCGAAAAATATCCCTGGAATGCCTCCAACCACACAATCGGACAAGTGCACGCCGAATCCAAATTATGGGGTGGCAAGCGAATGGTGGGTTATGGTTGGTTGTCCGCGGAGCTGGACTTTACGTCAGCGAAGGCACTGGGTAGGCATATCTCACACACTGGGCTCATGTGCAAAGTTGCGCTACGAAAGTTGAACGTCATGTCTGTGTTGGCTGGTGTTTTGAAGGAACTTGGTGTCTGGTGATCTGAAAATTGGTCTAGTTCAGTGCTAACGAGTGATTGTGCTGACCTACAGTTCGATGAATCTCCAGCCTCTACTACCATTGAGCAATTCATAACTGTGTCATTGGTAAGCGTGAAGACTAGAATACTGGTAAAAGGATACCATTTTGTTGAGGCATTTTGCTGAGGACAAGGATGGAGGAAAATCCTGAATCCGTGACAAGGTCGCTGGCAAGATCGCTGGCAAGATCGCTGCCAACTTGTATTCTTTCAAGTAAGACCTTTATCTAACTCAACCCATTGTTTTCTCAACTAAAGCATTCATGTGAACTGGATGAAAGGAGATCAGTCATGCAAAATGCTATTACCTTGTGTGCAGATGGTGAGAGCCGGATCTATTTAGGAAAAAAACCGACAATTGAACAATAATTTCAGTATGTTTGCGTCTGTTTATCTCTTATTTTCAAGAAAGAGTTTAGAACGAAATGAGAGAACCATGATTTTAATCCTTTCCTCTCTACCCTCTCTTACGAAAAGAAATATACCTGCCATAGAACTTGCTTACTGAAAACACGTGAGTGATCTTGCACATATTCAATTCATGTGTAGTCCTAGATTTAATTCATTTCATCATACTGTATTGAAATGTTTGTTATGCGTGGGTGCACACCAGGTGAATCACAGGGAGAGTATTTCAAGGCCTGCTACCGTCAAGTACACTCACAAGAAGCAGTCCAGAGGCCAAGGGCAATTCGCTGAGATCGAAGTTCGTTTTGAGCCATTGGAAGCTGGAGGTGGAATGTGAGGGTGTGGTATTTTGGATGAATTGAAAGGCTGAGTCTTCTGTATTGTTGACAGTAGGTGGAGGTGGTGACTCCGGAGGAACATATGGGTGATGTTATTGGTAACCTGAACTCCCGATGTGGACAAATTGAGACGCTTGATGACAAGCCCGGCGGCATGAAGCTGATTACTGCTTCTATGCCGCTGTCGGAGACGTACCTTGCGGGGCATGACGAAGGGCAGAGCTCAGTACACGATGCAACTGTCCAAGTTTGACGTTGTACCCACAAACATCCAGATGGAAATCACAGCGAAGAAGATAGAGACTACAGCTTAGAGTAACTTACGCTATAATCTAGATACTATCACTTAGAGTAAGATGATTGTCATGTGGAGCCTATCATGAATGATATGTCTCGAAGGGCTAATGCTGTGGTGTAGAAGACAGTTAGTAGAATGAATCCTGTAGATTATTTTTGTTCCTTTTATGAGCTCTGTACAGCTCTTCATGGAACGATTTTGTATTTGATCATCTATATTGCGAGCCTTCTCTAGCTGGCTGCTAAGCAAACACGTCAAAGATGATTGCGAAAACGACTTATTTTTTTCAGTTTTCTGATAGCTGAAAGCTCACAACAACGTTCTATAATTCTCATTATCCGAGGTCTCCAATGTAAAACACATTCTTAAAATTCTCTTAATGATTTCAGTCGCCTTCGCAAAATCTTTTCTAATACCAGCATCCTTAATGGCCCCATGCATAAATCTTCTGTTATCCCCTGCAGTAGGCAGCATTGAAGCAGCACCTTAGTGCCAAAACATAACTCTAGAGAATCCTACAACGCATGAAAGGCATGATACATGACACAGGTTTCTCCCCGGGTCACACTAGTATGGTAATAATAATGCAGGCAAAAAGGAATCCGGCATTGAACTTCATGTTGGCTTCATGTTGACTGCAACTGCAATTACATGAGATGTGACATATGATTGAATATTTCTGAACAATGAGAGAATCTGATCTACCACTAAACCCATTGAATTCAACTGCGTTCTCGGAAACTGAGTTCATCTAGAGCTCAATCACAACACGCTTTGGCACATCCTGTGGTGGTTTATCCCAGCGTACTCCCAAACCAAAGCCATAGCCATATCCTACACCTATCCCACATCCAGCTCCAACACCAAATACAAATCTAAGTGAACTCCAAGGTGTTGCCCCAATCCCAGTTCCTCCTGAATAATACCAATAAACAGAATGATTAGCAACTGCACACACAAAATTTATCAACAAGAAAAGACTCCGAAGATGCGATCCACAATCAAACTGTAAAAACCAAGTAGAGAAAGAGAAAACAGGGATTGAGAAACTGGACATACAAACTATGCGACAAGAACTATTTACAAACGGTAATACCATCCCAAAGTTGATTGAAAAACTTGTAAAAATCTGGGAGGAGAGTATTTGCAAGCATGAAGTCCCCGCAAAGGAGGCGAATGTTACTAGGAATTTAATACTAACACAGGATTGAATTCTATCCAAATTACAAAATGCAATGTTCTTCAACCAAATCAAATTGACAATTCATGACCAACAGAGTTGAATAAAATGTTAACATTGGATTGTAATCCGTACCTGTCAAACCAACACCAACGCCAGCACCACATCCTATTCCCAGAGCTCCACCAGGACCCCAATCTACAGCTGGTTTCGTCGTGTTACTTCCGCCAAATAACCTAAAATTATTCTTATCTCTAACCTTCTCCCGCTTCTTCCCCTGTCCAATCGCAGAATCCCATAGATTGCCTACTTGTGGCACAAGTCCTCCCTTATCACCTTTCATACCTCCGTCCCGTTTTCCGATAGCTTGATCCCATAGCCCCGACATCTGCGAGAGCCCACTCTTCTCACTTGCCTTCCTCTCCGCCTCTTTCTTTTCAGCTTCTCTCCTGTTAGCTTCATCGCCACCCAACAAATTAAAAGCCGGTAAACTCCCCACAGGCATCCTCTCAGCGGATATGCGGCCCTCAAACCCAGTTTTTAGTCTCCCAAGTTGATCGCAACAAAAAATTCAAATCCAGATAGACAGGTCCACACTCCTATCCTCTCATTCCACACCCACCACGCACACTCGCCCTGGCTCTCTCTATTTCTCTCTCAATGCCCCTCTAACCTAGGAGAGAATCCAGAATCTCCTCACCTCATCAATCCATCCCACGGTGAAAGTCAAACTGAACCCCCGAACTACGAATTCTCAACTTCTTGGGTGACTTTCGAGATACAAACGCCTAAGAAAATGACCAAATTCGCTACAGCCAACCAAAAAATGCAGGCTCACAAGGAGGGTGGAATCCAATCCAAGCTGACAATCTAATCTGCACAAACATAGACAAAATAAATAATAATGCGTGAAAAAAATAATAATAATAATAATAATAATTATCCGCGGAGTGAACTCTTCAATCCGCTTCGGAAATCCTACTCACCAACAAATTCCGAGCAGCCATCGCCAAAGTCAGGCCCCAAAACAACGGTGCCTCGACCAGGATGAACAAAGGGTATATACCGGATAACAAAGGAACAGGATGTCAATAATAAATATCGAAAACCGCATCACAAAGGTTCCTCGACTATTTTATGCATCCGGTTATCTAGAATATACTTGCTGTGATCCGTTCCTACGTCCCATGCAACCTCTCGGGTATAGTCCATGACAAGTTCTCAATACCGGGTCAGCGATCATCGCCGTCGTCGTCGTCGTCGTCGGTTCATCGCCTCCTGACCTCGGAAGTTGATCCACAGACCATTAATTTGCACCATTTCGGCAAGCTTATTCTTGTGCACCTCGTGACCATGGTGTACCCAAGAACGAGTTTTTATATGAGGGCCACAAGGGTAGGCCAGACTTGCAAGAATTTGCAGCTTTTAGGATTATATTTCACGGTTTTGGCATGACCTAGGAATGTGCCTGCCATGCATGGTTTTTGCCCTTCAACAGAGTCAGATTCATTGAACCTGTGACTTTGGAAGGTGGTCCAAATGTCCAGGTTCATGGAACCCAAAATGTGAATAATGATTTGCTTTCCATACATTTTAAGGAAAAAAAAAAAAAAAAAACAAAACAAAACATAAGAAAGGAAAAGGAGCACCCACAAGCGTCGATCTTGTGGTGTACATAGTTGCAGCATACGTGTATCTTTTGACGTCTTTGAAGACAACACCCATGACGTTGAACTCATGAAATCTCCAGTGTTCACAGACGTTAAAACTGTTGTTAGAAATATCTGCGCTACTTTGATCTGGTAAAAAATATCAATAACTATAACAATAACAGTTTTCATTGAAATGGAAACGTTGATGTGAGCAACTCCAACTTGCAACAACGTTAGGAATGTACAGTCGTTGAAAAGAAGTGGACGGCCTTGCTTTATAAAATTCCCTTGTCACTACAGTATATAAAAAAAATATATCATTCACGTGCAGGAATGTAACTTTATAACAAAGCAGAACGTCGTAAAAAATAAAAATAAAAAAACAAAAAACTGATATAAAATAGCACATGGTGTAGTGAGTTGTGGACGAAAGGTGGTAAATACTCACCGAGTTATGTCTTCTTCATATCAGGACCTTGTTCTACAGATGCATTTCTCACGGATACGTCAGAATAGGGGATTGTTGTTTGGACGCGATGCCGGCGGAACGTGGAATCGGAGTCTCCCGAAACAAAGGAAGATTAAAGAAGAAGACAAAAAGGAAGATTCATTGATAAACCTGGCAGTTGGGATAAGAGTTTCAGGGTCCGGGAGAGGAGGATAGACGAAGTGGGTTTGGCGTCAAAAGGACAGGATCTCTCGGAGACGAAGCCTGACATTCCATCATGGGTAACTTCCAAACGTGTGAGAAAGCTTTTTGGGTTTGCAGATTGGGTCAGAGACTCGCGGTAATCCCCAATCCGCTCTTCTTTCGGCTTCGCAAAGAAAAACCCTAATCGTAGCCGCACAACGCTGGGGTGTGTTTTTTTTTGTTGTGTTTGGTCTCACAGCCAGAGATCCGAGCGACGGCGCTCCACTTCAGCCTGTGAGTCAGCAAAAAGCGTGAGAATAGACTAAATCTTCTGCACACGTCAAACCTCTGTGGATTGCCCACGCCATGGCGTCAATCAGGGCTTCGGCCCCGACCTCAATCCGTTGCGTCGCTAAGGCGGGCGGAGTATTCGTTGTTCTGTCAAGAAGGGGTGCCCGCAGCTCCCGCTTCGTCTCTCACTCTCTCTTTCTCTGTGTGTCTGGTGTGGGGAGGCGTGCCTTAAGGACACGTCGCTGCTTCCACGCTACGTTCATTCCACGCTGCCACGCGCTTCTTGCTGCCTTCAACCGCCATGCCAACACTCAGCTTCCCATTCCCTCTTCCAATCTGAGTTCGTGCCCTGTAGAGAAAGCTGTTGTTGCGAGTTGGATTGCATTCTTCGTTTTGCACTCCGTTGACGATCAACGCCGGGAGGAATTAGAGTTGGAGCTGACGTCGAAGGTATTAAATCTCGTAAGGTTGAAGTCCGGTACAATTGATAAGGTTACAAGAGGCGATGGGTGTTATGCATTCTTAGGGGCATTTTGGTCGTTCAATGTAGTTTTCCAGGCTTTCTCTTTGGAGTGGATATTGCTAGTTTATCGTTTTGTTGTTATGTTGTAAGAGGTAAACACACCTTGTTCCATGATCTTTGAAGTTTTTGTAGTGTGTTGTGAAGCGATATTCGACCTTCCTGGAGAATTCTGTAGGTGCTCTTGTATTTTGGATTTTAATTAATGTCGTCGCACCTGGCATTGTTGTTCTGCTACCGTCTTGCTTCCCAGTCACAGGTTCTTGTGTGCACTTGGAAGAGTGCAGATTTTTATATAGAATGGCTGATTTCTTTCTCTGTAGCAAGGCTCAAGAGGAGCCAATTTAGAAATAGCAATCTCAAATACTATGTACTCATTCTATGCTTGGTATCTACCTGTGAGAGAGTACGTTGTTATGAATGCTAGTTTTCCCCTTATATTTTGAACATACTTTTGAAAGTCTCTGGGAGCAGGGCGTTCTAGGGGTTTATCTACTTGGGTCTAGTAGCAAATGTTTAACTAAATTCCTTTATTTATTTTTTTTATATATGTTGCCTTTCTTCAACGTTGCATTCTCACCTTTTGTAGTCGAATTGAAAGACGTGGCTTACCCACTTTTACTGCGGATATGCAACTTGCTTGTTCATGCATTGCAACAGTCTCTGTTTTGAGCTGGGCGGTTGAACTCAACGTATGTATTCCTGCAGAATATCAGCAGAAGGTTTGTGCAAGGACCAGGTGAACATGGGTCGCGCGGTGGATATTCCTGAAGACAAGCTGAATGCTCTTTCGGAGCTTTTGAAAACGGCAGGAGGATGTGTGACGACTGATGGAGGTTTTGCAACCCAGTTGGAACGTCATGGTGCAGATATTAATGACCCATTGTGGAGTGCGAGTTGCCTAATCACCATTCCCGAACTCGTCCGAAAGGTAAATAATTAGTTGAAGAATAAAAACTGCCACAAGTTCAGTTTTGTTGGCACTTAAACCGTGTGAAATTTATTTATTTTGGACGTTCTCAGTGTGCTACCGTCTGCTGCATTCAATCAGAATCATGATATAGAAATATTGAGCTCCTGCACTACAGTAAGTATTCTAATCTGTGCTTTGAATAGCGGACGTGCTCCTTGTGTTGTAAGGGTTGACTGGTAGCACAGGGATGTTTTTACGCCTGCGCGTTTGAGATAGTTTCTGGAGCTGTCCAACCGAATTATTTACAGCTTTTTGTTTTACAATGTTGAAAGCAGTGATATTGGGACTTGTTGTCTAGTTGTGAACTTTAAGGTTTCAGAGAAGAAAATTGTGATTAAACGTTTTGAAGAAGTATGTGGAAGGTTTCAATTCTTTTTATTATTTGTTTCGCAATTGCTTTGTGATGTCCATTTGTATGAGCAAGCTAAATCCTTCATGTTGTCTGTTGTGGTGCTGAATTGTCAGGTGCATAGGGAATATCTGGAAGCAGGAGCTGGAGTAATTTCAACAGCTTCTTATCAGGTGGTTATTCTTCAATACCACATCAATTTTGTAGACGAGGAAGTTTTCCTCTTTGCCTTGTCCGGCAGCGTGAAGCCACGTAGCTTGACGCACGACTTAAGTTTGAGGGTATCATATGCTATCAAGAACAATGATAGTTACTGTGCACAAGTGTTTGTATGGTTGGCAGGCTACGATTCAGGGTTTCCAGAGTCGAGGCTTGTCAACGAACGAAGCGGAAGATTTGCTTCAGAGGAGTGTCCGTATTGCTCAAGAAGAGCGCGACAGAGTTTGGAAAGAATCCCAAAACAGGGAGCATGCACGGACTGCTCGAGCGGGTTCAAACCTGCGTGCCCTTGTTGCTGCTTCTATTGGTAGTTATGGAGCGTATTTAGCTGATGGTTCTGAGTACAGGTATGCCAGTACTCCACCTTTCTCCAGTGGTTTGAAACTCTTTTGGAGTATCAGAATAATTACAAGTGAAACATCCGCTCGTTTGGAGTGCTTAGAGCATTGATTGCGGCCTCAGTTGGTCACGTTCAGGCGTTGCCATGACCAGCTCATATTTTGACTTCCTAGCTACTACTGTGTGGACTCTGTGCAGTGGAGACTACGGCCCATCCATGACAGTCGATAAGTTAAAAGATTTCCATCGCCGCCGTCTGGTTGTGCTTGCAGATGCAGGACCTGATCTATTGGCAATAGAAACCATTCCCTGCAAATTGGAAACCCAGGTCTGCTACTGTTCAGGTCTAGAAGTAGAGAGAAAATTGGCAGGATGTGATGAGGGCGGTGTTAAATTGATTCTGAGGTATTTTGTTTGCGGATTTATGCACATGTCATTCTCTCATGACGATGAAAACCCCGTGTGAGCATTTTGATTTCTCATCCGAAGATTTCTAAAACTACAAATTTGTGTTGTTCTTGAGGCGGTGCCTAGGTTCCAGACAAAGTATCAGAGTTGATACTTTCAAGGCGGATAGTGATTCTTAGTATTGCTTTCTGATCATGTGCAGGCCCTTGTCGAGCTGTTACATGAAGAGGACTTGCGGATTCCAGCTTGGATATCTTTTAATTCAAAAGATGGCGTGAACGTCGTGAGCGGGGATTCATTTTCTGACTGTGTTGCCTTGGTAGACAAATGCCCCGAAGTGGCAGCAGTGGGTATCAACTGCACTCCCCCTCGCTTCATCCTTGACCTCATACATGCAGCGCGGAAGGTAAATATTCCTAATTTATTGGACTATTTTATGTTGCTAGTGCGTAACCAAGGACATTTTATTTTTATTTTTATTTTTATTTTTAACTTGCATACATTGTGCCTACGCACGTTAATTTCAAACAATTAGCTTACCGCTAAGTAGCCTGCTTTACATTTTCTTAAAAAAGCAGTGCGATTATTGTGTAACAACAAAGACATGCGGAGAACTTGCAAGCGTCGTTTCTTGACCAAGAAACGCCACTGTTGGTGTCCAAGCAGGTGACAAACAAGCCCATAGTGGTCTATCCTAATAGCGGAGAGCACTATGATCCTGTCATAAAGCAGTGGGTGGTAAGTCTCTATCTCCTTTGCCTACTCCCCCTGGACCTTGATTTCTTTGACAACCTTGGTGACTGCTTTTTGTAGTTTGGAGTTTTTAAGTTCTATGGTATTTCTAATACACATTTTTAGAAAAGGTCTTGCATACTATTATTTTTGCAGTCCCTGAAATTACTCTCTACGAGGACACTGATGATATTAGTGCTTGGTTTTCACTTCCACTCTGAAAAGGACCTTGAAAATTGGCCTTAATTTGAACTTGAATGTTTTAATATTTTCTGGAATCAATTTGGTCCTGATTCAGTGATGGACATCATTTTGTGGCAGTTGTATTCGGATGGTCTTGCGTTGAACTGTCACAATTGTATTCCTATTGGGCCTTTGTAGTACGAACTTCAATGTTTTCAGATACCTAAAAGATCCGTTGTGGTGTTCCATAAAACCTGCAGGAGTCTACAGGTATCACAGACACAGATTTTGTTTCATATGTGCATGAGTGGCGTAAAGCAGGAGCTCAGCTGATAGGGGGATGCTGCCGGACCACTCCCAACACTATAGGAGCCATTTACAAAGCCTTGCATGAACATCCTCATGTACACGTTACCAATTAACCTGTATGTTAGACAAAAGCATCTTTTGCTGATATGCTGCCATGAGTCATGCAGGGGTTGCTGAAATTTTGTTTTGAAGATTTCACAGCTAGGTGACTGTGATATCTCGGTATTATTCTTCGAGCGAAGTATATCTTACACATTGGCGAATGTAAAATTATATGAATATAGATTACTGTGGAATTATTTCTCCGTGTATTCTGTCCGTGAAGAGTTCCTTGTAATCTTCTATTTCTGTGCTTGCATTTAAGTATTCGCAATCATATAAATAACGTGTATCAGGTAAGCTTCCTGTGAGTAAACCCACTGCATTGAGAGAGCACAGAATGATGTCTGGAGGCTTTGGCATCCGGAAACCAGTTTGCATTCTCCACTACACTGGTGGATTTCAGTGTACTGACCGCGCAGGTTGGATCGCTTACTCGCCATGAAAGCTTCTCCCAGGTTGGATCTGGTGGCAGAGAAATGCTGGCTTGAGACTGAAACAATAAAGAACACAGTGGCAGCATCAACACTATAAAGAACACTGTGTTCTAGTGGTTTTTGTTTTGTTTTTTTACTAGAACACAGTGGCAGCACAACAGTGAGAAATGACATTCATTCCAAGCATTGATAGGTCAGCTGCAGTTATTTCTTCCTTAGAACACTCCTCACAGAATCATTGAATGTCATCATTTGACATGTTCCCCGTTATCCCATAAACGCATATTCGGATCTTGTAACTAGATTCCCGTATGTTCCTACACCCATATCGAAAGTCGTTTTCGTTTTATCTTACCTCTTTCCCCTCCTAACCTGGAAATTGATGTTCAGCTCTCAACCAGGTCTCGGTGGGACGAACAAACGATGACCGTCTGCAGGCTTGAATTCTCTCTCGACTGTTGCTGATCTTCACTCCCGTCGCCATTACCTAACTCGAGGGAACATCATTCCAACCTGGAATTTAATAGTTCATTCCTGACGACCTTTTGCAGATTCCTACAACATTGCAGCCGCGTCGTCTCTACGATCGAGATCTCATCCCCTCTCTAGAACATCTTCCGGTAAGCCCGTATATTTAGGAAACCAAGACCAAGCTTTAGATCCCGTTGCACATGGTCCTTTAACCCCTGGTACAATTGCGGCCTCGTCACTACTTTGTCCGCAGCCGGCAGCCACCTCGTATTCTGTTGAAGACCCGGCATTACAACCACGTCACGGTTGCCTCGTGGCTATATCGTAAGCCCCCAACCGACCTTTCTGTTACAAAGCTAACATTCCTTATTTATTTATTAATCAGGAAAGTCTACTGGGTCCTCGATTCATCTCTTTGTTGGTTTTTATTTTCGTAACTAGAAAACGGTGCTATCGACCTATCACTGAGAAAAAAGCTCATCTTAGTTTATGAAAAAATCACAACTGCCACCTGCAATGGTAGTGTTTTCTTTATTTTTTCAAGTGTGCTTTCTACTATTGCGATTCAGTATGATGGATTTAAACAGTGGTTATAAGTTGATTAGATTTATTCCTTTTTTTTCTTTTTCTTTTTTCTTTTTTTTTCTCTCATCACCATTCTAGGCAACAAATTCGATTCTAAACTGATAGAAGTGATAACCCTGGAAAAAGATGGCATGCAGGAGAACCCATGCAAACATCTGACCAGTTAGATGTAAAAAAAATCACACACTCTCAACATTACCCAACTGACTGCTGATGTTTTTTTATTGATGAAGAACCAAAAAAATCAGCTTTTGCAAATCCATCGAACAATGAGGACCCCGGTTGCAAACTCCAATTCACCACCACAACGCCCAACCCAAACTGAGAAACTCATCACCGCTCAGGGGGACCGAAGTTCGAAACACGGATTCACAACACGAGAAGATTGCTGACTTCGATCGAGCTGCGATGTTGTCACCTAATATTCTGGAACAAAACCAAATCCATGCCTCATGAAATGTGGGTTATGTGGCTGTGTGTGGGTGTGTTGAATGTTCGGTTGGTCTTTTGCTGCAACCAGGCAGCGTGGATTGGTAACCGGTGACGCGTGGGATATCCCCTGAGAAGTTGTTAGGAATCTAGACAAAGCTAGCCCGAGAATCAATCCACAACAGGAGAAAAAAAGGCTTTTCCGGCAACAGAAAGAGCAGGCTGCTGCGCAATGTCAACCAGCCCCACCACCATCAGTGCATCCTCACGCCGCATCTTGACTTAATTGTGGGCACCAGTTCCAGCATCTGGTTGCATTCTCATCACCGTCTGCTAGTTGTTGTTTTTTTTGTTTTTAATTTTTAATTTTTAAACTAACAATCACAACACAGACAGGGAAAAAAAAAAAAAAAAAAAAAAAAAAAAGGAAAAAAAAAGGAAAAAAGAAAAAGAATAGAAAAGAAAAGAAAAAATTGTTTTTCTGCACATGAACCCACCTCCGTATTTTCCTCCCGTATATGTTTTTGTCATATATTGTTCATTTTTTTTTGTTTATTTGTGTTCTTTGTGGTGTGGATTTGAGCTGCTACTGGTAACAGTGCAATGAATGCAGAATTGGTTCCTATTGTTTTATTACTGACAAGTCCCCTCTGGAAAAAGGGAAAGAGATGTAGATTACCACATCACTTTCTGCAAACAGTTCTTGGTCCGATTTGTGAGAATCTGCATTCATTTTTCCTGCTTGTTTGTTTATTTAATTAATTATTGATATTTTTCTATGTTCATTTCTCTCTTTCTTTTTCTTTAGGTGGATACACAAGTGTACTGCCACATGGAAGTTTGTCTACATGAGGACATGTTAGTTGAATGTACACTAGCCAGTTCCATATGGTAACACCCAACTGATTATGTGTTCCATTAAAATAAAATAAAAAATCCCCACTCCATGTCATCAGAAGAAAAGTTTGTAAACTTCACACACCACAAGACAATAATGATACTATTAATAATAAATAACATGATAAACATTACAAGTAAAAGGACAAAAGCTCCATGTGTCTGAAATCCAGCATTTGTTACTCATCAAAATCCAAAATTTGAACTTATCAGAAACACCACTTGTAGAGAAACATATAAAAGAATGAATAATGAAGTTAATAATAATAATGGTTTAACAGCAAATAGTTTTCCTTATTTGCCATGGATTAATGTTTTTGTTTGTATGAGAATGGGAAGTCCTGAGTCAACATTTTATTTAGGGATTGTGAGCCCCCAATTGGCTTGGAGTCTGCATGAAAGCCCATTTTGCTACATTCAGATTCAACTGGAAATAAATATATAAATATATGAAAGAAAAAGAAAAAGAAACCAAGATGAGGATAAGAATAACAAAGTGAGATAAAGAAATAAAAAGAGACACTATGTGAGCAAAAATAAAAAAAAAATGTAAACAAAGAATAAAAAACTATTTAAAAAGCAAAAAAAGCAAAAATGCTGAATGCGACACCAATAGAACATGTTGAGAATATTTAGAAAGACACAAGAGTAATAGTAAGTAATACACACACACACAAGAGTAGTAGTAAGTCATACACACAAGAGGGTTTCTAAGGAGAGAGAGCTTCACACATAAAAATCTATTGATCTGGTTGTGTCTCGTATACAAGAAGAGAAAAGGGGAGAGGATAAACAATACTTCTCTATTAGACTCTAAATATTGTAGCTACAGTATTTACTATAGTCCACAATAAATATTATGGAGAGCGTCGGCTACATTTAATGATCTCAACACTCCTCTTCGCTCATCATAATATTTACATAATATAAAATTTGTATAGAATTATGATCTATATTTTTTTCAATCTTGCAAGATAGCCAATTGTTGCCTCATTAAAACCTTATCTAGAAAAATCTTATTGTATTTAAAGACAAAACCATAGATGAAGGAAAAAGAATACATCATTTTCTTTAATTATTTAAAGAGCTCATTAACTTTCTTATTCAAGAAAAGCAAGTCGTCACATACCAATGCCATAAGTAAGTTGACGATGGTTGCTCAATGGGAGAGCTTTGGTGAAGAGATCAACAAGGTTATTTGTAGATTCAATTTTCTTAATTTTAAGTGCTTGATCAGTAATCAAGTCATGGATATAACTAAAATACTTTAGATCAATATGCTTTGTCTTGTCGCTTTTAATAAAACCAACTTACATCTGTGCAATACAAGCATTGTTATCTTCATGCAAGATAGTTGGAGAATCATCATATGAAAATCCATGGGTTGTTTGAATGAATTTATCAATTCATCACAACGAAATACATTCTCGAGATACTTCATGTAAGGCAATAATTTCTGTATGGTTAGATGAAGTTGCAGTTATTGTTTGTTTCACTAATTTCAATGATAATGGAGCTCCATGTCTTAAAAATATAGATCCTATTTGAGATTTAGCAGTTGTAGTATTAGTTTTATATCCTACATCACAATATCCAACCAATTTTAGATCTGCTGATTGTGTGTAGTATAATCCCAAGTCTTCAGTACCTTTTAAATAACGTAATAAATATTTGATGCCATTCAAATGTCGTAGTGTTGGACATGCACTATGTCTTGCAAGAATACTAACTACAAATGCAATATCTCGTCTTGTAGATGTAGCTAAATACAAAAGTGCTCCAACCGCTGCGAGGTATGGATATTGATCTCCCAATATTTCTTTCTCCTCCTCGTGTGGACGGTATGGATCATGACTATCACGACCACATCCAATCATTGGTGTAGACAATGGATAAGCATCAATCATAATAAATCTTCACAAGTTTTGTCTAATATACGTTAGTTGGTATCAAGAAAAGGAACTGGATGAAAAAATAATTCAGACAAGTGTACCTTCACTCAAAGAAAAGTAACAAAATATAAATATATAAATATGTATATTGAAAGAGAAACTGGAATGGCTATTGCCAAAAGACAAAGAAACTAAAGACCCTTGAAATTAGACAAGAAGCAAGAAATGAGTTGAAAAGAGTGAAGAAGGCTTCACTCTTGTCTCTATATACTATCTAACTAGTGGCTACGTGGTGACATTCTATAGGACCTCCAATATGTGTTGACTTTGTAGGACACATGCCTTGACTTACAAGGCAAGTTTTTCTATGTGTGGACCACATAGTTAGCTTGATCTTCAAGCTAACAACATGTGTGGCACATGGCCAACTTGTTGACCACGTTTTTAATCCAAAAAGTCAATTAAAGACATCTATGAAGTCAAAGCAGCGTCTATAAAG